AATAAAGCAGCAATAATCAAACAAGAATATCATTAGCCTTGCTTCATCAGATATGGGTCTAATCCCCAAAATAATAGAAGCTGATTTGTTGTGAAGCCCTATGTATAAAAAACAAACTTCCTTGGACTAGAAATCTTATGGTATACTCGTTTTTACTATCCTATTAGTGATAATAATGACCTAAAATAATAAATCTAATTAGTAAAATTCAGTACTGGAGTAGGATAGGTAAAACATCATAGTATATCTCAGTTATTTGATTTTAAATAGTAGCCACACGACATAAGGTTAAGGTGATCAAATTATGCGACAAGTCTATTTTTGTCTATTTAGTCTGAGCGAAGAAAAGTTGGGCTTTGAGGAATCTCTTGTTTAACAATGGTTAAGCTTACTTCCATTCCGAGTGAAAGTCTTTGGTGAAGATATTCAAAAACAGATTCATCTTGACCAGTTATCGATTGGCTCTACTGTAACATTCCTGTTGACGCTATTTTCGAGGCATTTTCCTTCTATTTCAGTGAAAACATCCGTCGTATGACGGAGATTATCAGATAGGATATCATCCTTACAATCATATTAAAGTTAATTAGCTAAGAAAACTCATCGGCTCATCCCCAAATGCTTTAAATATACTCTATATCTGAGCTCTTTGATCGGCTAAAGTGATTTGGTTAGTTCAAGTCATATGCCAATCATGAAGCATGTGTCTGTCTGTGTATGAGTATGTGACCGCATGCGGTCGCTATGTGCGAAACCAGAAGTGATGGCACAAAGTAATTAGAAGAGAAGAAGGTTTAATGACCACCGTCACCTCTTCTCTTTAAATATATTTTAACAAGAAGGCAAAGCATAAATAAGAGGAAAGGCGTCCGACTTTATCTCATCCAGAAAGACACCATTCTCCATTTCATTTAATACTAACACATATTCAAACAATACTAACGGGTACTTGGTATCTTGTAATGAATGTATAAGTCTATAGAAATCCCTTTTGCTAATTATTCCTTTTAACCAACATCATACTCTAAACGATAATAGATTTGAAAATTCGACACTCATAACTATGGTAGGAGAAAAAGCTACGAAAAATAGCATAGGCTGGTTTACTGTAATTGTTATGCAAGACCTAACCTAGTTACCAAAACAGATACAAATTTGAATCAGGTATAAACTTGATAGTACTCTTTGATTGCTTAATAATATTTACACACCTATTATATAACTAGTAATTTAGTTCCTGATTTAATGATATCTCAGTAGAAGTAGAAAACAACGAATTAAGGGGAATCGGCCATGGCTATTCGGGCGATCGACCTACAACTCTAACCTGAAGTGAAAGTCCGTCCAGAAATTTTCGAATATAGTAGACTACAATGAAAGCACAATATTC